AGCGTGAGGGAGGTAAGACTGAAGAGGTGGTGTTTCGTCAAACTAAAGCAGTTGCAGATAAGGTCAAGGACTGGAGCAAAGTTGTGATAGCATATGAACCAGTGTGGGCCATTGGTACAGGAAAAACTGCAACCCCACAACAGGTAAGTACTGTGTTAATAGATGAGTTGAAGTATCTTGTTTTCTTTTTTCCCTGTTAACATATGAGATTTGAGGTTTTCATGGTGGTAGAAATGAGGATTGTGATAGGTAATGACTAGAAGGTGCCATAACCGAGATCTGAACCACATTACCATTAATATGTTTTATGGTTTCACAACTTAATTTTCTTCCACTTGACTTTTTCATGGTGGTGAATGTCACTTGTGGTGTTTTTGAACGTAGATTTGGAAGAGTGTCTCTGGGACAAATTCAGAGCACGTAGTGAAACAGATAAGGGTTTGGAGAAATTATTATTATTATTATCATCATCATTATTATTATTATTATTATTATTATTTATGTTTTCAATAGCTCAGATTATGTAGCATCAAATGATAATGTGATAATGAAATGAATTGAAAATAATATGGAAGGAACTGGTAGTGGCCTAATTTAAGTTACTATGCCAGAATTTACATGGAGTGCCCTAGGAAAACTATATAAATCTGTCAGAATAGCTGGTCTTTATACTGAGATTTGAACTTGGGACCTCCTGAATATGAAGCACTCAGTTGCAATGTTTGGTGCTTTTGGAAAAAATGTCAGATTCATACTGAAAAGGGCATTAGGTGTACTTTTTGTGCTCAGTAAATTGGTTGGAAGGTGCAGTAAAATTAGGGGGGGAAAGTTAAAAATGGTTTAAATTTGTGATATTGTTGAAATTAAAGTATAATAACAATAATAAAATTAAAAAGGGAAGATAAATCTTTGTCAATAAACATGTATCATAAACATGCAAGAGATGTAAAAATTTAACTGTATATTATAACTAACAGCTGAAATGCAGACCATCAAAGAGAGAGGGAGACTGAGAGATGTAGTGGTCAAGCTACTGAGACAGAAATGTGATAGCAGAGTGCCAATTAGAATTAAAAAATTATATACAAGACCCCACAGAGTTGCAGGACACATTAATCTTTATCATCTGTGTGACACAACGTACACTAGATCCAGCTGGTAATGTTCCTTTCATACCACTAAAACAATCAATCCAGAGATGTGGTCTGGCTGGCAGCCATGTAATATGGGGTTTAAATCCTCTATTTACATGTAATAAAAGTTAAAGGAAGTTACTATTTTTGTAAGTGTATTGTATCTGTAAATGGACAGAAAAAGGCCACAAGGACAATTTACATATGTGGGTCAAATTTGACAGGATGTTGTGCAGCAAGTAAAAAACTGAAATTTAAATGCATTTCCCTTTATTTCAGGCCCAAGAGGTTCACAAGAAACTGAGAGAATGGCTTAGCAAGAATGTATCAGATAAAGTTGCCAGTGAAACTCGCATAGTATATGGTGGCTCTGTAACAGGGGCCAATTGTGTAGAACTAAGCAAGGAACCTGACATTGATGGATTTCTTGTTGGAGGTGCTTCATTGAAACCAGAATTTGTTCAGATAGTCAATGCAAGGAAATAAGTTCATAAATGATTATGACCAAACTTCATAAATATGTAGTATGCTCAAGAATTAATGATCAGGAGTCAAGTTGTTGGTTTATGAAGAGTACACCTTGCACTCTAACACATAAAATGGTAGAAAAATGTTTTAAGTTTCTGAACTGTTGCCAAACAGCTAAATAATATTAAAGAGGTACATACACTTAAAGGTTATTCATATTAGAGTATATACCAGTATATTAGTTATATTAGAAGCTGTGCAAAATTTTCTATTGTCATTGCTCTAGGTATGTCAGTAATTAAACCTTTGCCATTTAAAAGTTAGGAGTCAAGTTATTTTGATATTACTGTGCATAGGCCTACAAAAATCAAGACACTGGCCTTAATGAGTGAGAACAGCAGGTAGATTCAGCTGTCTTTGGCATCTTTATTGTTTGATGAGAATGGGCTGTTTTCTTGTTCTTTTGTATTTGTTGATAGCATTTTGTATAAAATGTCGGTATTCTGTGGGAGCTCTTTGACACAGAACTATTGTAATCTCTAAATTATGTTCATGTTAGTGAACCTCTACACAGTTTTTATAACGTCTCTTATAACTTTGTAAGTTACAAATGTGTACTTTTCTTCTATCAAAATACCATTGTTCAGGCTATCCTAATCTTATTTGTATTAGTGGAAATACTTCATAGTGGCAAATAAAGATAAAATTTTGGTTTTGCCTGTTAGAAAGTAGACATTTGTAATTTGATCTAGTATGTATTTTCCTTAGATTTCCATTAATATATTTTATGCAATCATTTTTGAGTCTGGTAGTGTTTGGAAGGAAATGCACTGCCATATTGACTACTGTGTGTGAAGAAATTGGCTTAATGAAAAGATGAAAAATTTACAGAAATACGTCACTCAGTCAAATATATGAAATACAGAACAAATAGTGTGCTATTGTTTAGTGAAACTTTGTGTATTTACCCTCTAAGGATGGGGAGAGTGAAATTACTTTAGTATGTCCTGGAAGGGCATTTTTAATGACATTCGAGTTTAATACATTTTCATATTCTAAAGTACGGGAATGTTCTCATTTTGGTTTAAGATAAATAATGTTCTGTTCTTTGGATAGGAAGCTTATGGTACTGCTTGCAACCAATTGAAAGTGGATGAAAATAGAATGTTTATATGACATCTGAAATATCTTCAAATATACCCTGCCCATCTACTCTCTAAATGTTAAATGGTGTGTGCATATGAAGTTTGCTTTGACATTTTGGTGTAACTTTGAGTGTATGTATAGGGATTTATTGAATTATGAAGATGATAATGTGAAGTAAAATTGAAATAAAAGCATGCACATTTTGGCGCTGATCAGTTATTCATCATGACCTAATTAATATCACATGGTGTAGATTACTGCACCCAATTCTTTCTTCGCAGTGATGATGTTTCCCAGCTGACTGAAAACTCAAAATTCTTTTTGTATTAAATAATGGTTTTGCTTCACTCGCAGTTCACTGTATAATTCAAAGTCCTGTGTCTCAAGCAGTTGCCATTCGCTCCTGACATTTTGCAACACTTTCCAGTATTATGCATTGTTGATTCTGCCTGCTGAGACTCATATACAACATTTTTCTCGCTTGTGAAAAACCTTGCATTTACTTCCTTCCCCTTCCATTTTAAGAAATCAGAACTTAAAACACTAAATACATATCACAAACGTGCAATAAACCTTTGTCACTTTACTAGTTCATACAAACCAGATTTGTAATTGTGCATAACAGCACATCACAAAATGTCACCTGATGGAAAGGGGGTACAAAACTATACATGGCCATACATATGTATCTACATAAAAATATTTGCCCTATAAGAATGCAGGCATATGAAAACAAAATATTACACATGTTGGATAAAACTATCAATGATGAAAGGTAAGAACTGATTTTTTTATCTGTAATTGTGCAATTTCTTAAAGAAATTGGTAGCACACCTGAAACCTGATGGTGGCATACCAACTGCATAACACTGACCAACAGCACTATTACTAATTCACCCCCCTAGCAGCTGAACATTGTGCATGGTCATCTGCGGATGCACATTCCTAACAGAAACCAACATAACCAAATTTGACAAACTCTGCCCCCGAACTGCTAAACACTGCATTGACATCTGTGTATGCGTGTCACTAACTTAACCTAAGATAACCAAATTCTACTAAGATTTCTGTCTTCTGGGTTGTCGCGCCATGTAGTCTGGTCGATGCACCACTGTGAAAACCTTAAATCTTACAAATTCTACTACCTCAGACCTGTAGCTGCTTTTTTTTGTGTTACATGTTATTGAATGATTGATTGCAACTGACAACTACAGAGAGCATGGGCCATCCCTTGCCACTGCTATTACATTTGCAGTCCAGAAATGTAGTTGTTCCAAAGAGTAGTATTGGTAGGAATGAGCTGGACATGAAGTCTGGATAGGGAAATAAATACATACAAAATCTTTGGGGAACTAAAATGAAGTTATATTCAAATGGGCCATACAGAAATAAGTTGTAAGGATCTGAAGTGACCAGTAGCAGGCATTTGTATTAGTGGCATGGGACTTGAGGTTCCTTACCAGTGTTAGGTTAGGTTAAATTTTATCAGACGTTCTCTCTGTAAGGACCCATACATTCCTTCATAAATAGAACTATTTTTCATGAAAAGGTTACAACATTTTGATTCCACACATATGTAATGATGTATCAATTACAAAGTTTATGTAGACAAAGTGAGAAATTGTAGAATGAGTGCAAAGAGAAAGTTGGAGGTGATATGGAAGGAAGCAGTCATGGTTTAATTGAGATTTAATCAGAATATATTCTTAGAATTGGGGGGAAAAGTCAGAAATTTATTATGCCAACTTAGATTTGAACAAGGCACCTCCAGAATTGAAGGTTGTGCTCAATCATTGAGTCAAATATTCCTGAATTTTGTTATATTATCAGCTTTTTTCTGTACTTATGCCAATGAGTTGAATACATGTGAAAACAAGTATTATAATCATATCATCAAGAAAAACTGTATTGAACCGTATATTTGTATCACAAAAATTATGGAATTAATATTTTATGGCTTTTATCACCTTACTTCATACTGCAAGCACCACCTACTTCAGCTTGATGCTCTTGACAACGCCAATCTTGATTCCCGAAATCTCTCCTCCATATTTTTCAACTTCTTTTCTAGGTTCTCGCACCTGTAGTTCACAAATTAACCCACATGTAAGAGATTCTGATTTATATTTTGAAAAATGTAGGCTACAGAGCACACACTTGGGTTACTGGCTAAAGTTTGAATTTAAATGTTACATGTTTCATTACAATAAAAAAATATCAACTCACCTGCCCTTTCCTGCGTATCTTGGCTTTACGGAACTTATTGCGGTGCTTAACACGTGGGTTCCGTTGCTCTTTTTTGCGATGTGGTGTCAGGCCCTTGTTCTTCGCAATCTGATATGTGATTCCTCGCTTCCCATCCTCCTTCATTTCTTCATCTACATCTTTTGTTTCTTCTGAATCACTTCCACCTGTTCAAGAAGGAAGGTTGTGAGACAGCTCCACAGCTAGATGAGATTAGTTAATATGAGAGAACATCAACAGTTTAAAGTAATTCAACAGTGTCGACAAATTCTTCTAGTTACAGTTATTCATTACATTTTCAATGTGAATTAAAAAAGAGAGTAGTATAATTTGTCCCTAACAGGAAATAATTCTGCTTGAATAGTCTCAATAATTTTTCATGGAAGGAAGATTTTTTTGTACTACTTTTTACCATAAAAATTTCAAAAACATAAATCTTCATATAATCACATAATAATGGTCTTACTGCAAAGTATAATGGTACAAGCATTGCAATGCTGTTTAAACAACGTAATCTGATGGAGGCAGACTTAGCACAACTTGTCCTATCAGCTCAAACAGGTCACTTGCAGTGAAATGGTTATGTCAATGAAACGTTAACATTTCAAACTGTTAACATGTGCCTTCTTTTAATCTCCTGAAATTAACACATATTTCATGAGTATTAATAAGCATTAAAATATTATTTTGGCAAATATAATTACAACAGCATTACCAGAAATATCACTGTTCAACCCAGCATTGCCATTCTTTTCTGCAAAAGCATCCTTGGCTGGCAGTTTGATCAGACTGTCATTACTGTTGGCCTCCTCCTTCAAATGGGAAAGAAACTTCAGCAGTTTCTTCTTAGGCGCTCTAAAACAAATTACATATGAAGTGAAACAGTCTGTAACATGATTACAACTAACAGGTACTGATCTGTTCCTTTATAATGGCCCACCACTGGCACATAAAGGGAAGGAAGATATAAATATTGGGGAAATGAAAAAAATTCTGATGTTGAAGAAGCAGTGGCAGAACAGCTACAGATCTAGTGGAAAACATTAACCTTTCATTACTGTAAGACATG